AGAATTGTCTACTGGATTTAGCAACATGAAGGTGCTAGAGACCTTGACAATAGCAGTATTGGTATAGTTTCAGGGGCAAGAGCCTAATCAGAATACATTCAAGAAAGAGAGAGGAGGAAATTCCACATAAAAGTGAGATCCTACACTGTTTGTCTTTCTGTGTCTGGCTTTTTTCACTTAGCATAATGTCCTTTGGATTCATTCATGTTACCACAGATTTAAGATTTCTATCTTTGTATGGCTGAATAATACTCTGTTGTATACATATACCACATTTTCTTTATCCATTCATCCATTAATGGACACTTAGATTGTTTCCCTATCTTAGCTATTATGAATAATGCTACAATGAATATAGAAGTTCATACATTTCTTCAAGATACTAATTTCATTTTCTTTGGATATATTCCCAGAAATATGGTTGCTGGATCACATGATAGTTCTATGTTTTTTTGAGGAAAATCAATACTGTTTTCCATTTTATACTTGAAATTTGAGGGTAGTCCTCACTTGTTCTCACCACACATACACTACACATATAAATGGCAACCATGTGAGGTGAAGGCTGTGTTACCTGAATTATGGTCATCATTTCACATCATATATGTATATTAAGTCACCACACTGCACACCTTAAAAAATCATTTTTCAGAGCCTTAACATATAACATTTTTATTTGTCAATCATGCCTCAATAAATCTGTTAAAGAAAGGAGAAGAATTAGAGACTGAGAATATAAACAAGGCTTTTAGGAGTTTTGCTGTAAAAGGGAGAAGAAAAATGAGGTGGTAGAGGGATAGTTTGCTGCTGAAGAGAGGTGGCATTTTTGTTTTTTAAAGATTGGAGAAATTACAGCATATTTGTTTGCTAATTGGAATCATTGGATAGAAAGGGAAAAATTGATGCTGTAGGAGAAAGAAATGAGCATTGCTTAAGAGATACCTTTGAGTAAGTAGGAGGGACTAGCATCCAGTGAACAGCTTACTAATTTGGGATATCCATGTCTCACATCCTTCCTTTCAAACATTCAAAAAAAACTTTAATCAATACCTGCTCTGGGTCAAAGTATTTTCCCAGAGTACTCATAACAAAGATACCTAAGACCTAATTTCTTCAGAAAGTAGAAAAACCTCTAACAGACAGATATAATTCAGTATAATAATATATAATAATACATGTATACCAAAAGCACTAGCAAAGAGCCCAGGAGAGTGAGCAGCTAGCTCTGTCAAAGGGCACTGTGGAATTTGCAACAACACCAAATATGCTTTATTATCTAAGGAAGAAGTTAGTTTATTTTCAAGCAATTCTATATAGTAGTAACACAAAGCAATTTCATTTTAAAACAAGTAGTTTAGATCATTATAAAGTACTTCATCATTGTCAGTATTCTTAAAATTATATTTAGTGTTTTATTTGTGTTTAATTACAGCTAAATATTGTTCATAATAAAAAACTGCTTACCATCAATTTCAGACTAAAATTCAAACAAAATCCAAAAATAATGATCTTTCAACTCTACTACATTTATTAGAATACGGGTACACAGTACATAATTCTCACCTCTCTGGAAATCCAAGTTAGAAAACTTCAGATGTACGACAGATATGAAAGCTAAGTAACAAAATTGTTTAACTGTGAGACATTAGCACAGAGATATCATAAGTGTTTTATGCTTAGAGGAATAAAAAAATTACTCTGTGAGCAAGTGGTCAGCAAAATTTTTAAATGGGCTATTATCTTTTTTTTACTATATTCTTGGCTATAATTATTAATTTTCATCATTAGTAAATATAAGTGTCATTACCTAAAGAGATGTCTTAAAGTTTTTCAGATTATTTTTCAGAGATTATTAATTTCTGTACAGTTACATAAAGAATGAATCAAATGTGTTTAGTAAGCCTTTAGAAGCCATACAAACATAAAAACACTTTGTATGTATTAATAATAGAGTACATTTGATTTAAATCTAACAATAATGCTTGTAGTACTCTCTTTTTTTTAGCCAGTAGTACTACAGCAACAAGCCGTAAAGTTTTTTTTTCCATTTGAACTTTGCTGTTTTGTGAAATTAAAATACTGCTATACATATGCAGTAGCAAATAATTCTAAGCTGCAATCAAAGAATTCTGTATTTGGAATTAGAAATAACTTAAGCCATTGTCTCTTTTTCAATTTGCCAAGGACTGCTGTTTATGTAAGAATGTTACCTCTATTGAGTCTGTTTCAATATTGCAGCACAATAAAAAACTTTGTAAAAGGAGCAATACTTATAAGAATATGATTTCTTAATTATTAAATAATACTTTTTAAAATGGTAGTGTTTACTTGCATTGCTAAATTCATAGCTTTATAACTAGTAAAAGCAAAAGACTGTTATCTTCCAAAAGTACATTTTAATTAAGATTTTGATCTGTTTTTATTTAATTAAATACGTTTTTCTCAGTTTTATGTTAGCAATATATAATATACTTCTATTTAAAAATCACCAAAAAGTGTTTAATCTTCTGCAAATTTTTTCCTGTGCTTAATAATATAACCAGACATATCAAAGGTTTAATTACATACCTCAATGACTTAGCTCCTTGAGAATCTCAGAGAAGATGACCCAAAATATAACAAATACAATTGTGTATTTCATATTCTGTGTGTGAAGTATGTTTCTTCTTCTTTCTGTGCTTATATATATTTGACTTCAACCAATCAATTCTTTGAAAACTATCAAACTACTTTAAAATAAGATATAGAGCAAGTAAAACAACTGCTTATTTATTAAATTATTTACTTTCCAGAAGATTTTCTTGGTGACGTGTAGAAACAGTGTTAGAACTATAAATTGCTTCAGTTTCAGTGCACATGCTGAAATTGAGTTTATTTAAAAAACTGAATCCTGAAGAAATAAATTGTAGTTTTGAAAACACAGAATTCCAAACACTGAAAATCTGGAGGACTGAATCTGACAAGTAGTTGAATCGACATGATAAAAGGAGACCTTTCCTAAAACCCTTACACTATGCTAGGAGGACAGAATATATTGACCGGCATCAGCTGTCCCTAAGCTTTCCCTTTGTAAAAGTGCAGAGATCTACTCTATGATAATTTTGGAATCTTAGGTGATTGTTTTTAAAGTCATTTTCATACTTTGAAAGGAAGCCATTAAATGAACACTACATTTTTGACTCATTAATAATTTTATCATATCTAGTTCATCTTCAGACTTTCCAGGAACTTAGCAAAATATACTAGGTAAACTCTATCATTGTACATAATATAAATACATAAGGTTACATTTTCCATAGGAACAGAATTAGAAGTCTCCTAATGGAATTTTTTAAAATACATGAACTGATCATAGTAATTGATCATGAAATTTAGCTGGACAAGGAGGGAAATGAAGAGGATATACAGTGAGGTGTTGGAAGGTGAGGTGATCAGTAGATTAAGGAGGAGGATATTTGGACTTGGAGTGCTGTAGGGATGCACTAGAAATACAGAAAGTGGTAGTTGAGAAGTGGGATGCTTGAAGGGCTTACAGCCTTTGGAGATGACAAGGTTAAGCATATGACCACAGGAATAGGAGAAGAAGAGAACCTCAAGAAACTCAGTGACCAGAGTATTGGAGGTTGAATATTGAAGTCCCCAAGAATTATGGCACAAGTGGTGTTTAAGTCCTTACATTTCAACCCTGGCACTACATACTTCCCAACTGTGTGTCCTTTGGCCAGTTACACAACCTGTCTCAGTTTCTTCATCTGATAAAATGAGGGTAATGATAATATATTTCTCATAAGAATTAAACAATTTAATACTTATAAAACCACCTTAGACAATATTGACACATGAGTTAGTACTATTGTCATGATCATCATTATCACGGTTATGATCTAGTCCTGTGTGAGATTTGCTTTTCATTTAAAGTTTATTTAGTGATTATTGTATGCAACACATTGTGCTAGGTATCCTTTTTAAACTTCTGTATGATTTGCTTTGGCTCTTGTGTGCTTCAAGAATTTCAACTTGATCAAAAATAATACACTGAAGCCTCACCAAAAAGATATCCTTGAAGTCTGTGCCATGAGTTCTCCTTGCTTAAAGTAAAATGCTGTTGGGGTGCCTGGGTGGCTCAGTTGGCTAAGCATCCGAATTCAGCTCAAGTCATGATCTCACAGTTCATGGGTTCGAGCCCTGTGTCGGGCTCTGTGCTGACAGCTAGCTCAGAGCCTGGAGCCTGCTTCTGATTCTGTGTCTCCCTCTCTCTCTGACCCTCCCCTGCTCATGCTGCCTCTCTCTCTCAGAAATAAATAAAACATTAAAAAATTTTTAAAGTAAAATGCTGTTTAGGAAGAATATAGACCTAGAGGGAAACAGAATAGGTCAAAGCAGCGATTACTTGAATCTGGAATCTAGACTTGTTTGCAACAGCGAAAGAGATGCTTGGGGACAGAGCCAGCTATAGGCCCTAAAAGGGAATGTAGCCATATTGCTGAAGCATGGTGGTGGATCCAAAATGTATTGTGACAGGAGTTAAGAGACAGCAAAAATGGAAAGTTAGCATTACAGTGTTCCAACATGAAACAGTGGGTTGATGTCCTTGCAGGCAGGTTAAATGCAAGAGGCTACTGTCTTGGAGATTGGCTATCAAGATGTAAACACTTGGGCATTGGAGAACAAGACTGAAGATGAAGTAAAATTCCTAAAATAATGATACTCTTTGTAAAGGACCATACACTTAAAGTCTAGGGCTCCTAAGAAAGTAAAACCTAGGCTATTATTAACTATTTATAAAAGAATGCCTTAAAATTACATTATCATCTGGCCAATTGCCACAGGCAGTTTCACCTTCTGGCTCAAAACACACATTTTTCATCTACACAAATGCCAACCATAACGTTGCATATGCGTGAGTGTGTTTTGCAGACTGTAGCTAAAAATCAGTGTTAAGTTTGAGCAGACATGGGGAAGGAAAACAATGTGATGTGAATTTTGTTCTCTGTGTTTAGGCAAGCTACGACCAATATCTATGCCAGTGGAATATAATTGGGTAGGGGACTATGAAGATCCAAATAAGATGAAGAGAGATAGTAGAAGAGGTAAGTGTTCTAGAATTTCAGTGTAGGCTGGGTTGTTGGAACAAAAAGCAAATTTATATGTTCTTTAAATAGGATGTTATGGCTTCAGTGGAAAACTTCATTCTGTCATTGACTTTATGATACACCCAAACCACCTCAGACCAGCATTTGACTATCTTGATATATTATTAAATAGATATCTTCTCTGAATGTCTCTTAAGGGATTCAAGGTAGATAAGCACAGTGTTAAAAAATAAATATCTGATTGTTATTTGAAAATTACAATTTGAAAAACAAGGTCAGAAGTGTGAAACTGCATAAAAGAGTTAAGCTCAGTGAATAGGAAGAGTTTGTAATCAGTCCCCAAATGGTCCGCAATGCAACCTAATTACTTTTGTATTAGTAAAATCTTAAAATGAACATTGACATACATGAGTTTACTAATGGAAACTGGGCCACTGACTCTAATGAAAACCATATAGAAATGGAAAAAAAAATGCTTTGCTTTTTTTTTCTCTTCTGTTTGCTGTTCAGGGTTATCTTCTTACTTGGGGGTGGGCTACACTTGAAGTATCTACCAAAAGTAAGTTTTTATGTTCACTTATCCTGCTATTGAGGTGAGCCGTAAAGAGTGCCACTGAAAGTTTCACTACTAAGTGGGATTCGACCACCTGTGGATATGGTGGGCTACTTCTGCTTTCTGAAATAGAGAGCCATAAAGCTGTAGTTAAAATAAAACAAAGCAAAAAACTATTCATAGAACCTCAGCTCACTAACGTCCTTCATTAATATTGAACTCATTTGCCTGTTATTTCTAGTTACTGTACAGAATTTACCACACAGGGATAACAAAGCATGAATATCTGCTTTATTAGTCTATTCGACACTGGTTTCACAGAGTGAGCATTTCAGAAAATGTTGGTGAATACAGGAACATTAACAGATTCCTTCACATCTATGTATTCATTCCATTTTCCAAACTTTAGTTTCTGACTTCATTTGTTTTATAGAATTAATCAAGAAAAAAATAAAAAGAGAAACACTTATCATATGCTATTTCTGATCACTGTTTTGGGACTTCATATGATAGTGATATCTTGGGGGGAAGATGCCTTATAAAGTTTTAAGTGCTGGCTATCAGTGTAAGCATAGATTTTATGAACTGAGTTTCCTGATTCTTGTTTCAAAATGTGAGCTTTAACTTGTCCAAGAATGCTACCTAGTCTGTTAGAGGTCAGCGTTTGTCATAGATTTTAGCAGAATCCCCCAGGGGGAACTTGTTAAAAATTTTATGAGCCGCACACCCAGAACTTCTGAGTCACAATGATTCTCATAGTTGGTCCAGACATAAAAGCTGGAGAAATCATCTGTAGGCTATTTCTTACTGCCCTATGATCCCAAATAATTAAGGTTGTCTATATTTTCAGCACATAGGTATTTTATAAATTAATCGAGTTACATTTCTGAAATGAGATCTAATAGCACAATTAGGAGAGAATGGTAAATTTGGAATATTTGCATATTTATATTGGTGTATTTATCTCTTTTTATATAGAAAACTCTCTACTCCGATATATGAGCAATGAAAAAATTGCTCAAGAAGAATACATGTTTCAGAGAAACAGCAAAAAAGACACTGGGAAGAAGTCTAAAAAGAAGAGTGATAAGAGTAATAGCCCGACTCACTATTCATTGCTACCTAGTTTGCAAATGGATGCACTGAGACAAGACATCATGGGCACGCCTGTGCCAGAGACCACACTATACCATGTAAGTAAAATTTCAAAGACTTTGAGCTACAGCTTTTATTGGGAGCCTGGTGAATGACTCTTTGGGGTAAATTCCAGATATTTTATCTTTATCCTATTGCCAGATTTTCACAAAAGATCCTAAGTTTAGAAAATTTTTGAAAAACATTGGTGGCTTGATTTGTCCTTCAGCTCATCTGTTCAGTGAGTTCGTATGTTGTACCAGGTTCGATTTTTAATGAAATAATATGCTCAAATTGATAGAGAATAATAACTAATTAGTTGATTAATCACCTATAATAATAATCAGTAAATGGATAGCTATAAAATTCAACATTAAAGATAGGATTTTTAATATATTCATGATTTCATTTAGAAATGAGCATCTCTTACCTACTAGACTTGGAGCATGGTGCTCAAGGTAAAACTGAGAACACATAGATAGCACATTATTATATGGAGAGAAAGAAACACCAAGAGTTCCGATGTAAATTGATTGTTGTAATGGGTGGATACAAGAAGCATAGGAGGAACATGGGAAGGGGACAGCCTTAGCTTTCTGGGGAAGCAAAAAAACACTTAAAGTAGGGAGTGTTTGCATGAAGAGTGAGAGATAAGTAGCAGTATTATGGGGAGAAGATATATGGAGGTATACCACAGTGTATGAGAATATGGTATGTTCCAGAGACTTCATGAGGCTTAGAATTACCAGTTCACTAAAAACAGAGGGAAAACACATGAGGGGGCAGTAGGTGGGTCTAGAGATGTAGGCAGGGCTTAGATCAGGAACTTCAAAATAAAGTACTTAGGCTCTTCCTTGTTGTGAAAAAAAAAAAAAAACTATTGAAGAATTTTGAGCTGGGGACTGAAATGATGAGATTGGCTTGTTGGATCCCTCTGTTGCGTAGCACTGATGAAGAGGTGGGAGGCCAAAGTCAAAGCCATTATACCCAGGCTAGGTGGATGATGAGAAAGTAGGACAGTGTATGTAGAGTCTGAGAATCTTGTTAGCCAGAACATTCACTTAACAAAATCAACGCATTGTGTGCCATTTTCATTAAAAGGGAATTTTGTTGTGCCAATGTAACTGTAGCTTCTTACTAGGAGCTCTTGATAAACATGGATTACAAGTTTTTAAGTAATTTCAATAACTCTGGTGATCAGAGTATCAAAAATTTTTAATCTGTCACATGGTATAAGGTATACCATCTAGGTATACAAGGTGTGAAAGATTTAATAATTTATACCTGAATTACTTTTCTGAGTAAATCTTTTAAATCATCTGCTTACTTATCCTATAGCTCATAAAATGAGAGTGTGGAAAAATATTTTCACTTATTTGGGTTGAAGTAAGAGAGCAGTTAGCACTCCTAGGTACTCATTCTCTATCTTCTCCAAGCCTCTTCCCCTCTGAGAGAATAGCGCCTGTCTCAAAACCTGTTCCCCTAAGTGACTGACAAATCAAATGATTATATTTGCCACAGACATTCATAGTCAGTCTGAATCTTGGCTGTATGAATGGGAACACTTTTGCTCTCACTAGTCAGAAATGCTGTCTGAACACCAACCTCCCTCTAGAATCTAGTGCTCCAGTCAAAAATCTAAACATGAGAAACAGCTAGCCTATTCAAGAAGGAAGTTGGTAGTGAGAGATGAGGGTGGAAAAGGAAGAAGAGGCCACTTCACCCAGAGCATGTAAACTACTGAAGAGTTTGGATTTACCCTACGAGGAGCAGTAAACCATTGAAGGCACATTTAAACACTCGGCCTGTGCCATCCTGTCATGCACATCCAGACAGGAGTATACTGTGTGAGGGAGGAAAATAGATGAACCTTGTGGATTGTGAGTTATTAACTTATGGAAGATAGTAAAAAGTGAATAAAACTGGTAATCAGGAATAGCCAGACTATTGAGTATTGTAAAGGAGTATAAACTGTTAACCACTTTTCTGAAGGGCATTATTTAGTTACATGTTATCAAGAATCAGGTCTAGTAACTTCACTTCTAGAAGATTATTCCAAGAAAGAAATCAGTCTCCTTTTGCCTCCTACTTTTATTATGTGACCTGAGTCTTTAAGAAGGTATTTCTAAGATAGGTGATATTTATCCCAACGAACTTTTGACAGAAGGACAACACGTAAGGAATATTGTTAATTTTGTGGAGGAAGGGGAAGAGCAGGGGAGTCCTGCCAAATAACACTGACCCACTAATCCCAGAGTAGAAGGCTTGACACTTTCTAACTCTATTCTTTGTTTTAAAAAAAGAAAAACTAAATAATGGCTAGCCCCGAAGTGTATGCCTAACCAATGCTCAAATGCCTATAACCTATGTACAAATGAGAAAACATTTATTAGTAAGGTTTTCATGAGGCTCCAACTTCCCTTGGGACAGTTATTAAGGGAGATTCTACATTTGTTAATGTCTTTCAAATCTCATAACAACCGCATTTGTAAATGACAAAACTCAAGCTCAGAAGGATTAAGTGATTTACCCAAAAATGTGTTGCAAAAAAGTGTAAGCGTACAGACTAGAACCCAGATCACCTCCTCCAGTGATCTTTGCACACCCTACCCTGCTTTTCTGTGCATGGTAGGATTCCTTATGCAACTGAATTTATGCTTTAACAACTGATTGCATGAATTTTCAAAAAGTTTAAGAAACATGTGCCTTCATACGTTGATTTTGATAAAACTTTTGGTACCTGGATTGATTTGTACCCAGATTTCTCTTTTGCTCTGTGTTACTATTTTTTATGAAGTTCAGAAAAAACATACAGAGCTGCCCTTGTTATAAAGCATAAGTAGTTATCTGGCATGATGTATTGCTGAGACTGTGGAGGATTGTAGTTAAAATTGCTTGGACCTTAGAGACAAAATAACATACACTTAAATGATTGCTTTTTATATTTTGCAGGAATGCTTGTTTTTTTATGTTTATACACACCTATTTAAAAATTAAAGGATTTTTCCTTATATTAAATTGTCCTAAAACACTAGATCAGTATCAGTATTTCATCACCTTCATGAAGAACCACTGATCTTCATTCTTACCAGTTATTCCTTTGGATAGCACAGCCATTTTGAATGGAATGGGGCTGAAGTGGAAGTGTACTATGAAACCTGAGTGCTGAGGTTCATAGACTGCTATCTCTGTTGTAATATAGTAACTCCCTGTGCTCTGGGTTCAAATTTAGAGAAAATTTAGTTGAATCTAATGGCAGGATTATATCAACATTAAATACCCTTTAAACAGTTTACCAAAAGAATAGAGTGTGTGTGTGTGTGTGTGTGTGTGTGTGTGTGTGTGTGTGTAAGAGGGAAGACAGGTTTCTGTCTAAGCAGAACTAGATTATAATCCCCAGTGGTCTATTTTGGAAGGCAGCCCAATAAAAATACACGAAGCAAGGGGTGCCTGGGTGGCTTAGTCGGTTAAGCGTCCGACTTTCGCTTAGGTCATGATCTCACGGTTCGTGGGTTCGAGCCCCGCGTCGGGCTCTGTGCTGACTGCCAGCTCAGAGCCTGGAGCCTGTTTCAGAGTCTGTGTCTCCCTCTCTCTCTGACCCTCCCCTGCTCATGCTGTCTCTCTCTCTCTCCCCTAGAAATAAAAAAAAAAAAATACACAAAGCAAGGCAAATACAGTTTGGTTTCACTGTTTGACTCATTGCGCTTAGCAATTATAGCAGAAATGTTTATTTAATAATAGAGAAGACTGAGAAGTCTATGGTATTGTAAAATATACAGATTTTTTATTAATTCCATATATTTATTATTTAAGTTTAGATATTTTTCTTAAACTTACTTAAAAGGAAATCACTCACTATGCCCTAACCACCCTGATCATCCACCTTTTTGACATGCTGTGCCCTATACTGAAACTGATTTTACCTCCTTTTTCCCCCTGGCTGACTTCTATCTAAACATGAAATTACAGAGAGGCTTTGCATGATCACTACTGCCTTATACTAAATCAGCTTCTCCTATTATAATGTTTTAGCATTCTCTATATTTTCTTCAAAACCTTTTTTTTATGATTTTTAAGTATATACCTACATATGTGATTGTCTGCCTAGTGTCTTTTTCCCTTGTACAAAGTAGGGACAGCACGTCCATGTGCATGACAAAAAAGGATAGTTTTTCCATTTTGCTCAGCATTATATTTCAACATCTAATATAAGTATAGTAATTTAAATGCTCAGTAAGTATGTGATAAATAAATGAATAAATAAGTAAGTGAATGTGACAGTAACTTCATTGCCTGTCTCAGGATGTCTCTGATGTTGTCCTCAGCCTGTAAACAGCTACCTCCATGTCCTAGGCTGGCCCTGTCCAACACAAACAGGCCTTCAGTTAGAATGTATGCGTAGTGGAAATTTCCAGGAACCTTATTACCATAGGCTCAGTGTCCCATATGCTACGGGAGAGCCCTAGGACTCTGAATATCCTCTGTCAAGTTTATCTAGTCCACATTACTAAATTCTGCTTTGGTTCTTGCTTCTTTCTTATCATTACCATCTCATTATGGAGGTCGCAATATACCTGTCAGCTAAGCATGTTACAGTATTTTTCAAAAGAGGATAAGTTTATTTTACCTACTCACTGATTCTCTGTCTGAAAATGTGGGAGGTGTTAGCTACCAAAGCCCTCATCTGACCTTGAGAACACAGGAAGAAAACACAGACAGCAGTGTGTGTGTGTGTGTGAGAGAGAGAGAGAGAGAGACAGACAGACAAACTGAGGGAGTGGGAGAGGGAGGGAGACAAATTCAAATGTAGTGATAAAAGCCTTTAGATAAAGAGTGATTAGATTCAGGTCTTTTTTTTTTCCTTAATAAGATATACATATGACAGCTTCCTCTCACATTAAAGCTGATAAACTAAATCCATAAACAAAAATAATAATTTATTTTGAACCTACATGCTGACATGCCAAAACAAGTAAAATTTGATTATGGATCCAGGCAACATGCAGGTATACTTTCATAAACTGATTAATGTGATTTTAGATGGCGTATTTAAAACAGA